GCGGGGGGGGGGTCTGCCGTCTGCCCCGGGAGGTGCGGGGTTCTGCCATCTGCCCCGGGAGGTGCGGGGGTCTGCCATCTACTCCAAGAGGTGCAGGGTTCTGCTGTCTGCCCCGGGAGGTGCGGGGGGGGTCTGCCATCTGCCCCGGGAGGTGCGGGGGGGGGGGTCTGCCGTCTGCCCCGGGAGGGAGGCAGGGGACAGTGCCCAGTGGCTTGCTGCTCTGCCTACCTCGGGCACCTTCTGTCAGCTCCATGTATTTCTGAGTAGGTTGGTTGTGGTTCTGCCCACTTGTTTCTGTGTTTTTTGTTTTTGTTTTTTTTTGAGTTTATTTTGATTTCTAGATTTTATCAGAGTTTCAGCACGGTGTTTATATCCAAGCCCCTTTCCCTTCTAAGTGGATGTCTTGGTTGAAGTCGTGTGTTCATACCCTTGCCGTCCCTGTCCCCTCCTCTTGCGACCTCTGTGGTTCTCAAGGCCAACGGCTGTTCCCAGGGGTCCTTCCCAAGCTGTAATTCAATTTCTGTGTGCACCGGGCATAATTTCCTCGGACAGGCCCAGATATAATCTGGGTTATTATAAAAGGGCAGTCCTTTTATCCCTCTCCTCTTACATAACTCATTTTGTGTTTGCTTTTGCCTTCCTTTAGAAAGCTGTTAAGTTTAAAACTTTTTCTTCGGTGAGCCTTAGGTCTGTATATGTCAGTCCTTTTCTTTGACAGGAACCCCAGGGCTCAGATAGAACCTTCCTGGATCATCACTGTAATGTAGCAGTGGTAATCAGTGCTTGACTGAAAATGCAAGGAAATGATCCCCTCCAACAGGTTTTAAATTTCTAGTTTTTCCATTTTTCCCAGCACAGTACCTTCAAGGTAAGAAATAATTTTCATGAAAGTAAATGTAAAAGTAAATAGTATGTCAAAAGCAGACATTATTGCCTGAAGACGGTGTTTATCAACATGTGTTATCAACATACTACTTTTCCTTTTCCTTTTTTGGAATTTTTTTTTTTTTGGTACCAGGAATTGAGCTCAGGACCTCACACTTGCCAGGCAGGCGCTGAGCCGCGTCCCTGGCCCTACTTCCACTTTTCATGAGGATGATTTGTTACCTTGAAGGTATTGGGGAAAATGGAAAAACTGGGTCGTGCGTGCGTGTGTGCGTGTGTGTGGCTTGCTTTAGAGTATCTCCTTTGGTTCTGTGTGTGTG